ATCATTCCCATCATCCCCATCATCCCCATCATCATCATCAACCAGCAAAGGATGTGCTCCCCCAAATAAACATTATAAGAGGGAAGCGGTGAGCTGCTGCTGCTGATGCTGCAGGAGATGGTTCTGAACCATTTTGTGGATTTATTGACATTCTGTGATGTTATTAAAGTTGATTGCCAGAGACTGTGCACGTTTTTGGCTTAGACGAAAGGGCCATACGGCCGGCCGGCCGCCTGCAACGTATTTCCATCCAGTCGCTGTCCAGCAAGTGCTGCCTCCTATTCCCAATCCTATAACTGTTGCACCAATCCAGCAAGTGCTGCCCCATCCTGAAATTGCATACTCTTCCTGCAACTCCTCTCTCCCTCTCTCTCTGTGTGTGTGTGTGTGGGACATCAGAATGCAGCTCAGGCACACAGAGATACAAACAGAATGCAACCGACGGAGAGCTCACTGCGGTCAATTCGAAAGAAACAATAGCACCCACCCCTCAAACAGCCCGCACTGAGAGGGAACCAAAAGAAAAGTTCCAAAGGTAACAATAAAAGAAGGGTAATCTTTAGGGAATGTAGCTTTTGGATGCCCTTACAGGATGATACCCTTGCGACAGATCAGACTATGGCAGTCAGAAATATGTAGGTTTTAGCCATCCAATCGTGGCAGAGTAACGCAACGATCTACAACTACATCTAGATATTTCTTTGTGCTATGATTTGCCCTTTGGAAGGGTATTAAAACAGCCTGCTGCGTGGGTAAAAGGTATCTTCGATGTACCTTTAGAGTAGAAATCGTTTGAGGAGCGTTGCCGCAGCAGCAGCAGCATCATCATCAAGTCTAATATGCGCATTATTGGTTTTGTCCTGGCTTTTGGATGGTCCCATTGTGATCCTGTGCCCATGCTGCAGCAGTTATCCTTAATATGCCTTGCATATTAATACGCTTATTCTGTCCTGGCAAAGGGACTTTCCTCTCTCCTTCTGCACACACTCGACATGCAAATATGAAATGCAAATTCTAGTATGGCGCAATATTAAAATTTACAGAAGAGAAACAGAAACCGAAACCGAAATGAAAAATGCTATAGCCCTCTCCCCACCCACCTCGCTCCCTGTTCCAGTCAATTCTGCTGTGCCGACTACGCATTCAAAAAAAAAAAAACAAATCCTTTTGATCTTATTTTTTAATTTAGGATTTAATTTGGTTTTCTTGCAAAAGGAGCAGCCGAGCCTGCCCTGCCTGCTGCCTTTTCTGCGGGGCAACACATGGCGTATACTTGATATTAATACGCAGACTGACTCGCTCGCGTGCAGCATCCCTCCTCCCCCCCCAAATTTTCTCAGTTAAACTTATTAAAATATAAATTTATATGTGAACAAAATGTATGCCAATTTTCTTTGGTTATTTTTTTTGGTTATTGTTTTTTGCATATTAAATTTTGAGGTACATTCCTATATATTCAAATTTTATTTCATTTTTTCGCGGCTTTTGCGGCGCTTTTGTGCGTTTCACATTTTCTGTGGGGAAATTGAATGAAATTAAGTTTATTCGGAAAATAAAATTAAAGAAATTTCTGTGGTTTAAGAGATATATAGTAAAATTGTTAGCTGTGCAAATTTTTGGAATACCGTTTTTAATTGCATTTGAAATACCGTTTTTAAATCCTCTAATTATAAAATTTTATATTTATTATTTTCTATCGCAAATGTTCGTTCGTTTATTAATATTTTCCCCTATTTTGTTATATTTATCTTTTCAGAAGTTCCAGGCCTCAGTGAAAACCTCAGCCTCAGCCCTTTCCTTGTAAGTAATTTCCACAGATTTTCCCGTTTTTCCATATCGCTTTTACACAGACATTTTCGCGCAGTTTGTCAACATGAAAAGGTTAACAAGGTAAATAAAACACGGCCAAAAAGGTAGCAAAAAGAGAGAGAGAGAGAGTGAGGAGGTAACAGAAGTTAACAAAGGATACCAAAGGATACAAAAAGAAAGCATGTAAAAATCAAGAAATAAGGCCCACAAACAATGTGGCAAAAGGTAGAGGGGCGCATGCAAATCTTTGCATAAAATGGGGGTGCCACAAACAGGAAAGGCTACAGAAGAGGCTACAGGAGGGAGTAAAAGAGGGGCTACAGTGGGGATTTTAGCCACGGGTTTTTCGGCGGGGTGTACTACGTTCTGTGTGTGTTTTCTGTGTGTGAATAACAACATTTTAAACATGTTTGCCTTTTGGTTTTTTGTGCCCCACTCGCGCCTCAACGTTTATGCAATTTATTTCTTCCATGTTCTTCTTCGCGCCACTGTATCTCTCACTCTCTACCTCTCTCTCTCTCACTCCCTACCTCTCTCTCTCTCTCTCTCTCTCTCCAGATTTTTCTGTCTCTTGTTGCTCCTTTCTTATGTTGCGCCTTTTTTCGTGTGTTGTGTTCTGTGTTCTGCTGCTCGGTTACAAAGCATGCCCCGCGGCTGGGCAATGTATAATCTTTTGCTTGTCTTTTGAGAGAGGAAGAGACGCAGCGAGGCTGCCGCTGAAGTTGAACTCTTGACAGTCAGCCATGCCCTTCGCCACACAACAACAAAAAAAAAAGAGGTAACAGGGCCTGGGAACCAGAGAGAAGGTCCTGGTTGAAGAGATCGCGTAGCATAAAGAACAGGACAGGAAAGTAGTGCCAAAATGTGCTGGAAAGGCAATAGAAATTATCGGAACTATAGGAATATTATTTTTAATCCAATAAAAGACTGCTAAAGTGGTTGGAATTGTTGGTAAAATTGGTAAAAAATTATCTAGTCTAGCAAAAATTATCTAGCGCACACAGAAACCTTTAGAAATTATTTTGGCTCTCATACTCCGTATACCAATACTTTGGGTAGAGTATACACAAAATACATACATATATATTTCCCACTGAAAATTGTCTACTCTTTTTTGCCACTGGCAATTTTACTGCTGGTGTATACAACATTCTTTTGTCGGTTGAAAGGTGGAAAAGGCGAGCTGAAAAGTCACACAGCTTGAGGCGGGGAGGTCAGCGTTTCGCATCAGCATCAGAGACTTACACAAGACTTTAAGGCAGAGTTCCGCTTCTTTTGGAACAAAATAAGTTTAGGCAAGGCCCCCTCAACCATTTGTTAACCTTCGCTTTAGCCTGTCAACTATTTTTTAACCTGAACTTTAGCATAGTTTCCAGAATCGGCAGATACTGTTGGGCGCTGTGAGCAAAAGTTTAAAGCCCAAGAATGGCATGCCATCCCCCCACCCCACCCTTCACTCCTTTTCCCCTTTGCTCTCTGTGTCATGTTCCTGTGCTGCCGCCCCTGCTTGCTTATGCAACTCAAGTCGCCACGCTTGACACATTTCTCCAGAGAGACGACCGAATGCCCCATCCCGTACCGCCCGCACGTGCCTCCTGTTGCGAGTAGTCCAGCTGCCACCGGAGGAGCAAGCTACTTGTCAACGCAGTCATCAATGTCGGCCGTGACAGCATCACAGGCATCGCAGCGCCTGTAACTATGCCAAGCTTTTGCAATGTTCGCACATTTAGTTGCCACCCCCCCCCCCCAGACGTGTTGCATGCCACACACACAGTGTGTGTGTGTGTGTGTGTGTGTGTGTGTAGGTCACTGTGCCAGTGACCATCATAAATGGTACAGAAGGACGATGGACGAGGGCAAGAGAGAGCGACTCCTAACCAATATTAATGAGCATTTTCTGTGTTCATCGGCAAATTGAAAATAATATGCGTTCCATAAAAAATGATGAAACAATCTTGCAACCTTATGACCCCAAAAAGATGCCAAGTGGGAGGTGCAACAGGGGCAACTATTATTGCTAGCAGTCTTGGGTAGTGCACAGAATATTTTAACTATTTTATAATTGATATTTCTCGGTTTGCTAAAGGCATGGAACTTTATTAAATACACTTCGAAAATACCTTTCGAAAGCCCTTTGGAAATCCCACATTTAATGCTGAGAGAATGCCTTTAAATGCCCATCTCAGAGGCCATCACGGAACTTGCTTAAAAAGGTGGCACATCCATTAATTAAAGTCCAGTGGATGGCTGCCACTTGACCCAGTTTTTGCTCTTTTAGAAATATTTACGTTAAAGCTTATGCTGTATAAAAAAGTTTTTTCCCTTTTTTAAACTTTTGTAGCTGCAAACTTTTAGGTTTTGCCAAAATGTTTCAACTGAAAGGTGGGTCTAAAAAAAAAAAATAGTCTTAAGTAATTATAATTATCTATCTAGAGTTGCCCTGCCTCTCTGTCCTTCTCTTCCCCTAATCATATGCGTGATTTAATATGATTATTGTCGTTTGGATTACCCCTAGAAATGTAAAAAAACAAAAAAAAAAACCCAGTAAAAACCAAACCAAGCAAAACTTTGGCAACTGTGTGTGCAGCACGTGCTGTGCCTGCCGCCTGCCCCAAAGCGATGCCTTGCTCTTTTCCCTTCCCTGCCACCCTGCCAAAGGCGACAAATAAAGTTGTGAATGAATCACCAACACGCAAAAAAAAAAAAAAAGAGAGTAAAACCTTAACGTCACGTGCACAAAAACTTTCTTAATTTAAAAGAAATTTTCCAAACAAACTCAATTAAATAATTTTCTGGGCTAAAAAAAAAAAAAATTAAATGAAAACGAACAGAGTTTTTTTTTGGGTCTTGTCTTGTGGCTTATGTCTATTTTTATGCCAACAATTTTATACATACTACTTGTGGCAAGGATTCATGCGACTGCTGTCTGGGAAGACACTTTTAATGCCACAAAATTTTTAATTGAGCTAATCCTAAAAACCACATGCTGCTGCTGCAACTCTTTTTGCCTGGCTAACGAGCCAGAGATGTCAGCTGTGGGGCTGCTCTGCAAGTGGGACACACATGTTGCACGGTGGGGCAGTGCAGTCAAAAGGCATTAGACTGTACCTAATGATAATTGCTTTGAGTTAAAAAGATTAACCAAAGTTGGCTGCACACAAAAAAAAAACAGAAAAAAAAGACAGGAAAAGTTGATTTCCAAAAAGGAAACTCCCAGCAACAGATCAAAAATACAAAAAATATATAAAATAAATTTAAAAAAAAAATGGATCCCGAGGAAGCATTTCTAACTCAACGAAATCTTGTTGTCGAAACGTTAAAGCACTTGGATGACATGGCCAATGCCCATAAAGCAGCAGAGTAAATCCAAGACAAAAAATGCACTAAATATGTTTTGAACTAAGCTCTAAATAACTTCCCCACCAGAAGAGGCAAAGATACTAAGACGCAGGAAGTGGATATTACAGCGGGTGTGACAGAGGGCAACTACTTGGTGATTTCTCGCGTGGAGCGCACACAAAAGTCCAGTGCTCGTTACACACCCAAAAAGTTTATAAAGTCGGGAAGAGTCAATTTAATGCCATTCATGCAACAGATCGATGTGACACACGAGGCGCGCCTCAAAGCGCGTAGGGAACGCCATGTGGCAGCTGAGAATTTTCGCAGGTATGCGGCATGGCACTCCCCTAAGAGATCATCAGAGTGATACTAAGTGATACCTTATCCCACCAGATTGGGCAACGAAGAGTTCCGTAACGGCATCTACGACAAGGCCATATACTTTTACACCAAGGGTCTGCAATATGTGACCGATACGCCTGTACTATATTGCAATCGGGCCTTGGCAAGGATTAAGTAGGTTTATTTTGAAACCCAAAAAATCAAGGCAAAAATTTATGCATTTACTTTGTAGGAAAAGGGAATTCAAATTAGCCCTCATAGATCTGGATATGGTGGTATTTAAACTGGATCCTGGTAATATGCGGGGCTGGCTTTATAGGGCTGGTGCCCTAGCGCGCATCAACAATGAGCCCGAGTCTCAGGTGGCCATACGCAATGCGTTTATCTTCAACAGAAATCCCAAGGATCAGCGCTACATTCAAATGTTTGTGGAAAAAATGCGCGAATTTTAAACAATTTATTTCTTTGTTTAGTTTTTTTTCTTTTAATTTGTATTTTATTAGGAGAAATTCTCTGTTATAAAAACAGAAATTCAATCAAATGCCAATCGAAATCGTTTCATTTACTCGTGGTGTCAGTTGCAGTCCACACAAAAACTCTGCTGCTGCAAAGTTTCATAAACATACAAATTTAGTTCGATAAAAAAAAATCATTAAAAATATGCAAAAAAAATATATGAAAAATGTTTTGGCTTTTTTTCCGCTCGCTTTTTGCCTCTTGTTGATGAAATTTTCCATTTTTTTATACACTACGAGTAGGTTAAATGGGGCTACCATGAGAGGTTTGTGGATCATCTATTGCTTTATTCATAAATTTCTGTGTAGGCAAAAGTGCCTGAAATTATTATCAAATCTTTAAAATGTAATAAATAAATATAATAAAAATTAATATAATTAAAATAAATATAAAAAAATAATATAATGACCTGCTGCAAAATTCAGCTTCAATGCAATTACTTATTCGATTTGTAGTCGTATGGGGGCACCTGTATATCGTAGCACTATTCTTCCAAAAAAAAAAAGTATTCTTTGATTTAACTTATTAATCTTCTTATTTATTTATTATTATTTAAATCTAAATAAAATAAAATTGCATAATTTATACATAAATATGTATCATAGGGCTATAGTCAAAAGTTCGCGCCGTGGCAAAAACAGGAAAAAGTGTATCAAAACCATCGACTGCTGACCTGTGGTGAGCGCGCATCCTTTTCTTGTTTTGCATAAATTCAATAAAAATTCCTATTGTCATGAGAATATTTGCCAATACAATATACAGGCCAGAGCTACAGCAGCGAAGGAAGTTGGAGTGTAGCATCTACTCGACGCTCCACTCCAACTTCCAAGCGTGAGGGCCACTTATACGCTTCGTTGGCGGAGCTGCAGCAGAACCGGCACCGGCACCAGCACCGGCACCAGCACCAGCACCAGCACCCGCCCCTCTCATCGACCACAAAAGACTGACACTGCGGCTGCAAATGCGGGGCAAATGGAAATTGCAGAACTGAAGACTGAGTGGGGAGGGGAGGGAGGAGGTTCGTTCTATAGGGAATGAGAATTTTGTGTGTGGGAGCTTTCAATATGGCGCCAACACCATTTGCATTTGCCCCTCGGCCGCCAATCTGCACCCAAGCGCTTGCTACTGACTGCCTCCTGCTGTCTGCTGCCGCCCAGCCTCTTGCTGCAAGTCCAGAAGCAGTCGTCGTCGTCGCAGTCGTCGTAGTCGTTTCCCCCCCATAATGAAATGCAGTTCAAATGCTTGGGGTATAAACTTTTGCCACAACAGGCTTGCAACCAGTCAGGGCATTGCTGTTGGTTGTAAACTAGCAAACAAAACGCAACGGAAGTGCCACAAAAAGGGTTTCACTGTTTGTCAATTGTGTGTTTGTGTGCAGCAGCAGCAACGGCGACGCTGGCCGCAGAGTCGACACCTAAACCAATTCCCGCAAAGCCCCAACCCCAAGCCAAAGCCCCGGTCCTCTGTCAATCCCTCTGCCTGGGCCAAACAATCCCTTGGCACTACTGACACGCTAACTGACTGCCAACTTTCTGGCCCTCTCCCTGTCTCTGGCTGTCTGGATGCTGCTGCTGCTGCTGCTGCTATGTGCTGTGCCTTGAGAAATGCAAAAATGTTTGCGGCTTGCTGCGGCTCTAATCAACACTGCCTCAGCCACTGTGCCACTCTGGCACTCTCTAGCCAACGCCCATTGCTTGTAATCAATGCTGTAAACACTTATTTTTGTGGTTGTCACCAAACACAGATCCAAACTACAATTTGTACCCCCCCTCAAAAAATACACGAGACTGAGAGAGAGAGAGAGAGCAAAGTTTTTGGCTGTCGTTCTCGGTAACTGCTTTTTGCTGCAGAGGATTTTCCTGTGTGTGAGTGTGTGTGCCACAGTTTTTGTGGTCACAATTCGGCCAGAGAGGATTTCGACTCGTAAAAGGTGCGCCCTTAATGCTGTCCTTTATATGGACCCAGCAGGCAAATGATTATTGGAAAAACAGGTAATGTTTTTTACGCCCGGCTTAAAGGGAAAAGTTTTCCAACGAGAATTGGCCACAGCTTCACCGAGTAATTAGAAATAGGGCTTTCCAGTTTTTTTTGGTGGAATTTGTGAAAGATTTATGACAATTTTGGCGGGCTTTAAGTGTTTTTGAAAATAGGAAATAGTTTTTTTTTTTTTTGTGGTTACTTGCCTCGTCACGCACAGGCAATATATGTTGTTTTTGGAACCGATTCTCGGTCTTAATTCTCGCTGGTCTAACGCCAATAATAATAATAATTGTGTGTAGTTTTTTCTTGGGTTCTGGGGCCCGAGAACGATCACCAGCTGCATTCTCGGGGATTCTGTTCTGCACTTTTCGCATGTTATGTGTAGAACAAAGATCTAAAATCGTAGTTTCATGTGCACAGGTACTCTCTACTGCACCTCCTTCTTCGTTTGTAACTATTTCACATATATTTTCCATATTATATACACCAAAATAGCCCTTGTTTTAAGCTTAAAAGCAGTTGGAATAAATTTCATTGCCTTCACTTTATTCATTCTGATATTCTCTTATATGTCTCGGACACCTGTCGAAAAAGAGAGCCATGTAAACTCTGCAAACCTTTGGGGATCTGTTATAGACAGTTTCACAGTACTTTCCTGCTGCCCCGGTCCGTAGTTAAGTGGCAGGTATAACCCTCTGTCTGTCTTACACTTTGGAGTCCAGTAGATCTTTATAAATCACACACCACACAACACCATCAGCCAGCCAGAGAGCCAATCACCAATCAGCCTCCCCATTTATTTCCCAGGGGTGATCCCAGGGGCAGGCTTCCATCTGCTGTAGAAGTTTTCCCCGAAGGATCTCGGACGAAGGCATTCAAAAACTACAACTTCGTCTTCTCGCCCCTTTAGTGGGTGGCTGAAGCCTGAAGTTTGTTGTTTGTCCGATGGTTTTCAAGTTGCGGTCTTTGTGGTTATGGGCTGCTTCTTGGCCAGAAAGTAATTTGGCCTTTATCTGTATTGCGGTTTAAACACAGAGTAGAGCAGAGTCGAGTCGAGCCGAGAGGGCCAACAGGCGGCAACATCGTTTTGCTTTTGCTTTTGCTGTTGCTGTTGGGTAATATTTTGTTGGTTTAGCAGCATCTTTGTTCTACCACATCCGGGGACTCATTTTGGGTTTGAGTTTTCTTTGGTTTCTGGTTTGAGGGTAAATTGCAATCCTTCCTTCACCCCAGCCTTCCCCACCCACCCTGCCACTGATATGGCCCAAAACTTTTCAGTTTTGCGGCGCTTTGTTTTTGTTGCCATTTTTGCCTGACATTTGCCGCCCAAGTTTTTCATTAAACGGCGGAAAATATTTGAATATTTTTTTGTTTTTGTTTTTTGTTTGTTTTGTTTTTGTTTTGCATCCATCGCTGACACTGGCTGTCATTCTGTTTGGCCCTGTTGGCTGGCAGTTCATTTAAAGTTTATCCTGGTATACCCAACCCCGTTTAATTAGCATTTTGAGTTTCTATCTATTCCGAGTTTCCATCTGCCGGATTGACACTTATTTTTTTTGGCTTCTGCTGCTGCTGCTGCAGCTGCTGCTGCTGTTGCTGTTGCTGCCTTATTGAATGTTTATTTGCTGCTTTGCTTGATTTCGATTTTCTCAACGACTGGGCAAAGGAATTTCCAAAGCAAACAGTCGAACCCTAGAAGCGACTTGGTGTTGACGTGACTCTACATAAGATATAAAAAAAAAATGATACAAAAAAAGGAAGGCAAAGGAGAAGAAAACTCTCTGGGGGGGTGGGGGATGGGCTGCAGATGACTTGGCATCAGACAAAGGCACGGGGGAGACACTAGACTTTTGGTCTCTGTGAGTGGAAGGGGGTGGATGCCGGGGAGACTGCTCCTCTAGTGTTGAGAGTCTCTGTTGAGTGAATTAGCAATTGGCAACCTGCTGAGGCTCAGACTGGGTAGAAGACTGAAACACTGACAGAAATTGTCAGCTGGATTTCAGCAATCGAAGGGGAATTCCTTCAGAGAAGAACTCGATATATTTCTGGTAGCCCAAGTCAGAAATATGTGAATACTGTGAGAGTTAAGAGCTTGGAGAAAGAAGTTTCGATTCGAAAAAATGATTTGGTTACTTAAAAAAGAATAATATAATAATAAATAAATAATAAAAAAATAAATAAAATAAAAAATAAATAAATAATAATAATATTTTTTTTTAATTCATGCTATTTCCCAGCGCTACAAATTCAAACTTATTGAATGGAATATTCCATTTATAAATATTTTTTTTATTTTAATTATTTGTTTATTTATTTATTATTTATTTTATTTATTTAATATTTATTTAGTAATATCAATAATTGTTGTACTCCTCCAGAACCCTTTCTTTCACTCCCTTTCGTTTTTTAAGCATTAAGAATTCTTTTTTTTAATTACAGTTCTTCCAATACGTATCACAACACACTCCGTACGAGAACATCTTTGCTCTGTGTATTCTGCAATCTATTGCTTCCGCTAGCCCAGCCACCCCCTGCACTACCTAAGGAAATATATTCACGTTGCTTTTTCATTATTCATGACAACTTTTGCTCTTGGCCTAAGGTACTGCTCGCACTGTAGCTGAAGTCGAAAGCAAATAACAGATACAGATACGGAAACGGGGCACACACGTGGCGTGTGTGGCATGGTGTGGTGGGGGCGAGCCATAACAAATAACAAAGATGACAATAAAAAGCAGCAAAACAATTTCCCCATAGTACAACAAAACAAAAAAAAACAAGAAAAAATAGAAAAGGGAGAAAAAGGGAACTAATATTTTAAGAAAACACGGGGAGGACACACAGGACACAGGACACACAAAAAAGAGGGGAGAAACTTAATCGCATGTGTGTGGGTAGATGGGGGGGGAGGGCTTTTCTTTCCTTCCAAGTGGCCGTCATCAAATTCAAGTGACATATTTAGACAGCTAAGCGACTCCCAAGGTGAAGCTGAAAGTAGCAGCAGCACCAGGAGCAGTGGCAGCAGTCAGGGGACCAAAGCCAGA